AAAAAAAAAAAAAAAAAAAAAAAACAAAGAAAGAAAGAAAAGAAAATTTTACTGTGATGGCCCCAGAAACTAAAAATAGTACAAGCAATGATTCTAACATTAAAATCTGAATAGCAATATTCTTCTCTCTTTATTTTTCACAATACAAATTCACTTAGTATGTTTGAAATTTTTTAAAGCTAGAACTGTTTTGTTTTTTTAAATTTAGGACAGGGTGTACAGGGTCTCACTGCATAGATTTGACTCTTAATGATCCTCCCATTTATAGCCTCCCAAGTGCTGGGATTACAGGCCCAGGCCACCACACCCAGTCTCAATCTCTTTCTCAGCACGCCCCAGGGGCAGGGCCAGCCCAGCAGGCCAGGGGATTGAATTCCCAGCCCCTGCCTCTGCCTAAGCAGGCGCTTTAATCCACTGAGCTATTTGGCTGACCCTAGAACTGTTATTTTTTACTCTCCAGAACTCTTTAATTATTCACTATCCACAATTCACAAAATAAAACTATTAGTTAATAATAATTATTGCCATCTATACTTGCTATCCAAATTCTAAGAATCTGAACTCAGGAAGCTAATGTATTTGGATTACTGAGATTTTACTGTGCTTTGAGAATGTGAGCAAGTAAGGGAGTCATTACAGAAGTATGATATAATAAAACATGGTAGTTATAAGATGTCTTAAGATTTGTCTTCCACATAACTGCTTTTTTTTACTGAAAAGAATGTCTCCATTTCAGCTTCAGTGGACTACAGATAGTGGAAATATTCTCAGAGAGACTGTGACAGTTACATTTGCGAAAGGTAAATAATCTTGAATACCTATAAAATATCAAATCAAACAATGTGAAAACTGGAAGGACCTTAATATGTAATCATTTAATCAAATTTTACAGCTAAGGAAACCATGACCCAAGATACAACTTTATTAGGATTTATCAAAATCTTTTCAGCTAAATTCTTTCTACATTCAACTTTTGTGCTTTTTTTATCACTGAAATCTTGAGGCTGATTACTACCATAATGAGCAGGAGAGCTGGCTAAGTCTGGTATTGGCTATTTTTTATTGCTTGTATTTTTTCAGAGGTCTTACTCCTATATTCTCTCAATATTTCTGTCTTATCTCGTTCAACCCTTTTGCATGTATTGTGTCTTCTGGAAATGTCTTTTCTTCTGTATGGCAGGCAGGCTTCTCTTATTACTCAGATAGCGATATCTGATTTTAAGTGTTTTCTTAACTGCACCTCTTATATTAAAGAAGCAAGTTATTCCCCATTTAATATGGTAACCTTATTTGTGCTCTTCAGAGGCAAGGAGTGTTTTATTCATATCAACATAACTAGAGCCCAAATAAGCACTTGCCCGGCAAGTGCAAGGGCCTGAGTTCAATCCCCGGTTCCGCAAAAAAAAAAAAAAAAACAAACATAACTAGAGCCCAGGATAATGCCTGCTAAAATGTTAGTGCCTAAGTAAGTGATTTAGAATCAGTTGAACTGTACAGTATAGTTTTTAGTTCTTCCACTTATTAACATCTAAGAGTCATTTTGCCTAAAAATGGATTTTAAGTGCTGTAGCATTATTCATTATATTTTTTCAATTCACTGTGCTCAACAAAACAAAACAAATCCTATCCTGTTTAAGAAGTATAAATTAACATGAGGCTGGCCAAATAGCTCAGTGGATTAAAGCATCTGCAAGCAGGCGCAGCAGCCAGGGGTTCAATCCCCAGGCCTGTGGTGCTGGCTCTGCCCTGGGGATACACTGAGATGGCATTTGAGACTGGGCGTGGTGGCATATGCCTGTAATTCTAGCTCTTGGGAGGCTGTGCACAAGAAAATCACTTACCAGTCTGATCTGGTAGTGAGGCCCTGAACCCCCTACCCTTCTCTAAAAAATAAAAAAAAAAATTAAAAAAAAAAAAGATGAAGTATAAAGTAGCATAGTGCTTGGAATTAAAACTAGATAAATAAAACAGTTGGAAGGCTATTTTACTGTACAGATGAAGAAGTTGTTAGTGGTTTAGACAACTGTTGATAACATGTACTAGAATTAGATACTTTGTAAGAGTGATTTTAACAGAATTCCAAGGTCTTTTTTTTTTTTTAATTGAGAAAAAAATTGCAATGAGACAGTTTCAAAACATGTTGATAGGAGAGTTATAACAATTAATACATTGCATATTGTCGTCTTTGTAGTAGTCATTCATAGCTCAAGATGCCGACATGATATCCTGTCCAAACACTGTTAGTACAAATCTTTCTTCTTACTGTATTAAGAGAAAGTGGCTATATATCTATCCTAACAATTTTTGTATACACAGATACAAAATTGTCCTTCATTTATATCTCCTTTTTATGTTTAGTTTTGTCAGAGATGGGTATTCCATTGCCATCCAAATATTGTAGGTGCATGAATTCAGCAAAATAATCCAATATAGTCCAGTACTCCACAATAGTAGTGGATTATCCACAAGACTGGCAATGTCCAAATCTGTTGACTTGAGCCTTCCACATCTCTGCATATTAACATGGCTTCACTTTTCATACCTCGTTTCTACACTTTTCTGCTGGATGGATAAGACCAAGATAAAGCAAGACCTATATATCAAGAAATATAACTTTTATATCTGACAAGGTCAGTCAAATTCCCTCAGGACTTATCCCAAAACCCTGTACTGCAGTTTGTAGATCCTTTGTTAGTGTCAGCCATGTGGATGAGTCACAGCCATTGCTTGACCAATACGCTCTGTGTGAAAGCCTGAGAGAATATTTTCTCTCCATGTGACTCTCTTTAGGCACACAGTACATCATCGATCACATTCCTCTGTGGTCCCATAATCGCCTTAATCAGAAAATTTGGGACACAACTGAGTTAAATGATGTTATAGTACAAGTTCTCCTATGTCCTGAGTCCTCACTGACTTTGAAAAGCTGGTACCAAAATGTTGGCTGTCCCTCCAGCCCTTCTTTTTCTCTAATTTTTGGTCTGCAAACTTAGGTTGTTAACCTTCCTGAAGAAAAGCTTATTATTATCCTACAACGTGTGAAGTTGGGTCCAACCTCACTATCTGTCTGAATATCAAACATCATAGGCATAAGATGGAGCATATATTTTTCATCAAATATTGATCTGTTAAACTTTAAGTCTCTACAGAATAAGAAAGAAGAATTTAAAAAATAAATTTTTTTTAAAAAAATGAATAAACAGTTACATATTTTTACACAAAAATTTAGAAATCTAACCATAGACATCATTGTTGCAGGAGAGTCCTGTGACATTTTCTTTTCCTCTTTTCTCTTTTTTTTTCATTTATTACCATTAAAAAAAAACAAAAAACAAAAAACATTTACTTGAGATACAGTCTGGCCATAATTGGTATGTCATGAAAAGCAGTATGTATTTAGAAGACCAGAATGACAGGCATTCCAAGAATGACCCCACTATTACACATTGCTATCTTGAGTGCAGTCGCTCAGTTCACAGGTATCAGCATATATAGTTAGTCAGGGTGAGAATTCCACCAAGTAACTGCTAGTTTCAACAACCTGCTGATAATTCTCAGGATCATTGCCTTACCTAGCTTGTACGTATAAATGTATAGCTTTGCCCCTGTCATATTTCCTAGCTTTTCTCCTTGCCCTCTTTTTGTTGTCTAATCCTCAAGTTCTCGCTCTCCTTTTAATTGTGTTATACCTTTCTATTTGTATTTCTTCTTTTGAGATCTTATACTAGGGAGACTATACAATATTTACACATGTAGGTCGGGTTTATTTCACTTATGAGTATATCTTCAAGTGGCATCCACTTAAATATCAAGCCTTCTAGTTTGTCATTTTTTATAGCTGAGTAATACTCCATTGTATAAAAATACCACATCTTTTTCATCCATTCCTTACGTTGGTTGATTCCAAGATTTGACTATCACAAATTGTGTTACTATAAACATAAGTATACATATATCACTATGATATGATGTTTTCAGTTCCTCTGGGAAAATTCCCAGTAGGGGGATAGCTGGTTTGAATGGGATTTCCAGTGCTAGTTTTTAAAGGAGTCTCCACACTGATTTCCATAATGGTTGCACCAGTCTACATTCCCCCAAGGTCTTCATCTTTGATTGAGTGGTGTTTGCTTTGGTGGGACACAAACTAAAATTGATTGGTGTTAGTTGGGAACTTGGAATGATCTAATATAACTTCTGAATTTCTACTATGACCACTCAATTGATGGTGGAGTTTATTAAGCTCAGCAACTCGGCAGACGTATAGGCCTGGGTATGGTGACACACATCTATAATTATAGCATTCTGCAAGGCGGAGACAGAAGAATTCCAAATTCAAGTCCACGCTGGACAATTTAGTGACTTTATCTTGAAAAGGACTGGGGATATAACTCATTGTGAAGGCTGTGGTTTAATCCCAAGCACTGAAAAAAATTCTATAAGAATGACTCAAAATAAATAAATATTAATAAAATAAAATCTGGAAAAGGAAAAAAAATGACTTCATTAGAGTGGGGAAGAGGTTCAACCTAGTAATCAAAAAATAGTTCTGTTTCTGGCAGTACTAGGAACTGAACCTAGAGCTTTTATGATCTCTTTTTGTTTTTGTTTTGAGACAGTCTTGCTAAATCACTGAGTTACCCAAGTTGGGCTCAAATTTGTGATCTTCTTGCCTCAGCTTTCCAGAGTGCTAGACTACAGGTGTGCCACCATGCCCGCTGAGGAATCTATATTTTAAAAAAAAATTTCCTTAGAGACTCTGATGACCTGCCAGGTTTAGAAATAATAGACTAGATGACAATTTTTGGCTGATAGTTTCTTGAAATTCTTTCAAATATTTGATCTTTTTTTACTATTCCAATTCTGACTGAAAGGGTTGTAATAACATTGTATCCTGGAAACCATAAAAATAATTTTTTAATAGTTGTATTTTATGTAATTTAGGAAACTCATCAGGAGAATCAATTCCCTCCAAAGTGGAAACAAATCAGACAGGGACTTCTTTGTCTCCAGAGCCAACTCACTTGCTTTCCTCACTTTCTTCATTTCAGCCCAAAATATTTACACAGCTACAGGTAGGTCCCCAATAAATAGCTGCATTTGGGGCTCTTCTTCAACTCACTCTTTGAGGTATTTCAGAGAATTGTTACAGGAATACTGTAATTATCAAATGTTTATTAATTTCTTGATCTCTTTGTGTCTTAAAATGATAATTTAAACAGTATATTTTTAAAAAGTTTGACAACTGTGAAAACAGTCAAATTTAGTTGTACTACTTTTACCTTGGTTGTTTCTATCAGCATTTAGTATTTTTTTTTTATACACTTGCACTTTATTTGTTTCAAGGTTTTGTCAAAATAACCAGGCAAGGTGGCACACTCCTGTCTTCCCAGCGCTCAGGCAGCTGAGATACAAGTTTGAGGCCAACCTGGCCTACATACTGAATTCAAGGCCAGACTGAAGTATAGAGCAAAACTCTGTCTTGGAAAAGAAAAGAAAAGAAAAAGTCCTGTGAGAATATCATGTATAGTAGATCTAAACATTTTGATATAACTGTTCTTTTTAAAAGGGTTTGCAGTTACAACCAAGATTCACTTCTCCAGATGGGTTGCCAACTCTGTTATCAGGAAATAGCCACTCCTCCAGTCCTTCAACACTTCTGGATTCAATAGAAAGTACTTCAGTGAATAATAATTCTTTACTTCATGGTGAAAGTCACAGCCTTCCAACAGATACATGCCTAACCCAAAACAGTAGTACGGCATCTACTGGTGGTAACCTTCAAGGACCAGAACAAAATCTAGTGGCAGTGGATCAGCTGATGGAAGATGGAGACGTTGAGGATACGGGGAATCTGGAAGGAAGTGTTCATCAGATATTGTTGGAAGATATGCAGACCATTCCAATACAGATTATAGACAACCACCCAGCTCTTAGTAAGTTAAAAATCAATTTAGTGCGTTATTTTTGAGCCTTTATGGACATCTTGATGTTGTACTGCTGGAAAAAAAAATCATTTTCCAGTGGGTTTATAACATTATGTAATTCACAGAAAATTTTAAGAAAAGAAGGGAGACATTTCATTCAAAATTATAAGAAGGGAGGGCTGGGGAGATGGCTCGGTGGAATAAGCACTTCCCTGGTAAGCTCAAAGGCCTGAGTTCAATCCCCAGTTCTGCAAAAAAATTATAAGGGGACAATTTCACTAGTTCACAAACTTTTGAGCTTTACTTTTCTCCCTTATTTCCAATTATTTAATCCCATTGAAATTATTCATTCTCTGATCATCTGTTTTTTTCAGAGATGACAATGTGGTGATATAAAACTAAGAGAATTATTTTAGAATGCACCCATCATACTTTACTGCAAAGGTTATGGAAAATTTAATATATGCATACACACACACAGAAAACTGGAAAAGTAAACAGGTACAAAGGTTAAAGAGAAGATTTTGAGTATAAATATACAGTTTTTTGGGGTTTTTTTTTTTGTTTTTTTTTGGTAGGGCTGGGGACCAAACCCAGGGCCTTGTGCATGCAAGGCAAGAGCTCTACCACTGAGCCACATCCCAGCCCTTTGAGTATAAATATAAATGTTGCATTCTATGGAAGTTAAATGGGAACTAGTAACATTTGGTGCTTGAATTTTACCCAAGACCTTATTATCTTCACTTTATTAATAACCCAATCAACATATTCATAAACTCTGTTAATGCTTGTTTTATATTTCTCTTCTTTTCACACAAATTGTTCTGGACTGTGCATATTGATGAGAAAGAGATTTCAATTTTCTTTGAAGAACAAAAATCTTAGAACATACATATATGCCTTCATTGTAAAGGCATGCATATAT